TAATGCACGTCAAAACTAAAATGTATAACCGAACTAATGGAAGAAAGAAATTTCCATTATGACAGTCACTTGAGTGTTCAGTGTCACTTGTGAGTCGTCTATAAATACGGCCATTAACTGTCTTGCGCATCAACACAAATGTCAAGGTTCGTTAACCTCAGGCACCCCCAGGACCGGTTGCGAGCCTATTAGCTCACACCAACAGGGTTCATCCTTGCACTTAAATCATCATCCTCACTGAAACCGGTCCTGGGGGTGCCAGAGGCTGGCAAACCTCGAAACGTGCACAATCTTACATTAAATAAAATCAATGCTAGAGTAAAACTTTAATATATTCTTTTAGCACTTAACTGACAGTAAGATAAATGTTGTCCATGCCTCACTTAAATTAACAATTATGTCAAAATCACCAGACGATTCGATGTGAAATATCTCGGAAACCGTAACAGATGTCGACTGCAAATACGTACACATTTTTTGTTGCAAACATAAGGGATAATGAGATGTTGACAACAGAATGACCATATTTGAAAAGCCAAAATAGTTCTGATGCTTTAAATGGCTTCGCACTATCGCAGCTAGCGCCCTCTAGGAACTGCAAGCTAAGTAATGGGAAATTTCGTTTCATGGATCTTAAAAACCCCACGCCCAAATCTTGGTGGATATAATAAAGTTAGTTAAGTATCAATTTTTAACCCCTTTTACCCCAACACCCAAACACTTTTACACCCTGTATCTTCTGTTAACTTTCGAATAAGAGAAATTTGCTCGAAGCGCAATATTTTGCGTTTCTGTTGACCTGTGACGTCCATGCCTCGCCCATGGACATTATTTCACCAAATAATAACGTCGATATGACGAGATAATCACGTCGGTATGACTTGAAATCACATAATTGAAACATTGCTCTTTGTTATTTTCACGTTTGGTGCTGGCTGGATCGAACTTATGTGGAAGATTTCATATGGTTCATTTTAAAAACTACTCGCACTACCTGAGTATTTACAACTATGACAGCCTGCATCGAACGTGATAATCACGCGAAAACCTAACTTCACTTGACTATGTCAATGTGCTGGCTGGGATAAATTGAATTCTGAACGTATTCTACATATATTCACCTGTGCTAGACTTACCTGGAGTCTTTAAACGCTGGATGCATCTCTATGTATCTGTTGATGATGGTGCCCACAATTTCGGGATCGTTGCATAGATGGCAAATCGCTGCTCTCAGAAAGTATTCTTTCGCGTTGTATTGAAGCAATGAGCTGGATAGATCAAAGCATGCGATATCCTAAAAAAAATACAGTCAAAATTGATAATTATACATAGTGACMCACGTAATATGAAGGCAYTCGAGTGGGTGCATTGTTGCACCATTTCCCGACTTCGACCTATTTTCCAATAAAATTATAGGTAAAATGCAATTTAATTTGCTTTTCAACGTAAAACATTTTATTTGCAACATTTAAAGCTTCTATTGCATCTAGTGGACGAGCTCCAGKGCGTTGRAAAAAAATGGATCACTCGCTCCTTTTCACAAGATTTCTGGSTACTGCAGGTCGGACCAAAACGCATCCAAAGGACGACCGGCCCGCAGACTACACACTATTATAAACACACGACGGCCTAACGGATCGTTACGGTTGGTGCGAGGAGTGGAGATGTCTTTGCTGAGCAGSTCTAAGTGCGCGAAAGARGAAGCAAGAGAGCTCAGGYTGGGGCCGGCCTGACATAACGACGCCGTAACGCATTCCAACCGATTCTCACTATGGTACAAGAAGCWAACACTTCAAAAGCTTCTGACATCCTTTAAAAATKAAAAATATTGCTTCCTAATTTCAGGTCTYCCTAGACCAAAGATTCATATTTCAATATACATTTTCAGTCAATTTTTATTCATATTCATATTAAATAGCCGCACTGTATGTAAAAACGGTAAAGGTAATGCTGGTACCTGGAACATTTTGATAGCCTTCTGATACTTTCCTTCGAGGGCCGCGAATTCTGCCACCTTTAAAATGCATTTGTTGGCGATGGAATGATGGTTTTCCTCATGCAACAACTCGGCCGCCTGCTCATAGTGGCGAATAGCCCCAGCCAAGTCTCGTTCGTCTTCCATAAGCTCAGCAATGGTCTGATGCAGCTTAGCAGCAGTCAAGAACCTGCCTAACAATAGCAGATAATCTCACAAATTTGGTTCGAATTGCAGTCGTTTGTACCCATCTCGGAGTACATTTTCAGTGCTTTCAGGTAGCATTCGATGGCCATCGAGTAGTCACATTTTCGGAAGCAATTTGCCGCCTCGGAGTAATTAATGGCGCCCTCCAGGGTGTCTTCGGTTTTGCTGTGTAGGTCAGCGGCGTCGGTGAARGCCAATCCAGCTTGCAGCCAGTTTTTGGCCATTTTGAACAGGTTTCCCGCTCTGGTGTAGTATTCGATGGCTTCTATGGTCTAAAATTGAAGTTTRCAAAATGATTTATTAAAGTAGAGAAAAATGAGTGAACATTCGTATTGAAAACTAGATACAGCACATTAAGCAARTKTTATTTTCTTATGAGACAATTATTTGATTTTTTTCCATCCARCAGTTGAAAAATGAGAAKAATTTTACYAATCATATTTTAAAGCTTTTGAAGCTCAAAAGTATTTGTTTAACTAAAACCATTACAAAAAWGATRCRGTTTTATAATAAARGTGAAGTCTCACAATTTTAAGAAAATTAGGCAAATAATGAACAAGTAGGATTMAATACTGTTAGTTAAATTGGTAGTATTCTCAAAGTATTCACTAACAAAAACCAATAAAACTCAAAACAATTTTTTTTATTATAAAAATTCTAGTACCGCCGTCTGATTTTAGGCGCTGGTTCATCACATTCTTTTTAGGTCAAGGCCGTCAAATGAAATTAATGGAAAATACAAATATTTTTCCTTCAGCCGCAAAAAGTTGGCGACTATTTCAGCAGATAAGCACTCAGTCACTTCTCATGCAAAACAAGTATTTCCCGTTTTCCCGGTGAAGTCAACGAGCACAGCCCTTGACTTTTGGATCACACATATCGTTAAAAAAGTTAATTGGAACTTCTTCATCCGAATGTTCACAATGCGCGTTTTGCTTGACGTCATCAACGACTAGACACCCAAGCACTTTCATCGCTTGACTCACGATACACAGAACGAAACACAGATAAAGACTGATATAGACAGCCCTCTCTCCTTTACTAGACACAGGACAGAGATGCATCAGCGTTATTTATACTGTTGGACAGTTCAAAATTTTCCCCTCAAACCGAAAAATCAGCTGTGAATACAGGAACCTGTAGTTTCCATTTCTGGATTGGTATAGATTTCTACTTCTGGGTTTCTATAAATTTTTCTTACTAGTATTGGATTGGGGGCATACTTTCACCGAGATTAAGAAATCCTTATCCAATCAGGCACATTGATATATAAATACATCAAATTGAAGATTAACAATTCTTAGTCCCAATTAAAGTGTTTTGCAATGAGCTCATAACAAAAATTCTATAAGCAATTACAAATTTTAATATTGATCAAAACTTAGATAACAAAATACAGTTAACAGTTTTACATTGATAGACGAGTATTTTCGTTTATCCACAGATTATTCTATTGTGTACAAATACAATTATAGCAATTTGCATTGACACTTTAATTTCATTTTACTTTTGTTGCTCTTCTTCAATCCAAAAAATCATGCTAATCGCAAAATAGAACTGGTAAAAATTAAAAAATACAGATAATAGTTTTACATTAATAGAAGAGTAATTAGGTTCAGACAACCTTACTTGTCTCTTATGCGAAAATTTTTTGTGTGTGGTTTTATCACGTGATCCCTAGCGTCTTCAATGCCTCAAGTCCAGAACAGCGGCATCACCTGTATGTATAGAACACGAAATAATAAAATTGTTTGCTCCCATCCTTATCCAAAACGCATTTGTTACGTGGTTCAGGCTTTACTTTGTAAATCCGTCAGACGGTCCTTAACCACTACCCTTCTGGCGGATCTGAAGCCTGAATCCGTAAAAGCGCACTCATTCGAACGCTCTAGAACCATAAAGTTTAGTTTATTGCCCTTGCAATGTTTGATTCCAAATCCTGTGAAGAAACTTGCAAGTGTTCTAAGAAAATTGATACAGTCCACTCCAGTGAAATCAACAGTTCAGCGTAAACGATAACCGACCGCAAATATATGGGTTAAAAGGGTTGCAAGCGCTCACAAAAATAATCGAAAGTATTTCATTTAAACACCAACATGCCTTTACATTTTTGCGGGRTTTTAAGCCATAATTATACCGTAATTACCGTCTTGAAGGCACATCATAACACTGARGAGCGAAACGCTACTGGGCCTTCCCTCGATCAACTCAGCACCTACTCTCTTGRCTGACGTAGGACAAGTCGAACTCCTGCTGTATGCGCTGGTTGAACAGGTGTACCTTCAGCTTTGCGGCGTCAGYGACTTGATCAAGGAACTGGAATCCTTGTTCTTCGACACGCGTACTCTTTTYCAACGTCATTTCGAGACTCTGATCGCTAAAGCGACGAGTCGGAACATCGACAACGTGCTCGACGAGGTCAACTTGGATGGAGACATGTTCGAGTTTGAGAAACTGGACTTTGACAAGTTCAAACTCCTCCTGGCGGCACTTAGCATGAGCGATCCCTACTACTACCTGTACTGTGAAAGCATATGGAAGGAGAACGACAATGAAACCGTCAACTTTCACTGGTATATTTCAAGTTATACCGCCATTTATACCAAGTAGAACGTTATTCGGCTATTGTAGAACCCAATTTTACAAAAATATACTTGGAACAGCTTGTTCCTGGTATCTACCGCAAATGTACAATCCGGCCTTAATCGTGTACATATTTCTTGTTGGAGACGATCAAAAACGCTTTCATAAGGCGATAAATTTCACTTTCTGCGGAAACACCAACATTTCCAGCCAATTCTCCGCGCATTTTGCGGCATATTCCTACACGTATTGTGGTATCAATATCCCATTTTTCACAAAGATACTTTGTTTTCTCTGTTGCCTCTTCATAGGGCTTATTTCGAATTTAGGCTGGTTCAGTCTCTAATAATCATGGAACGCTTCTCTAAAATTCATTCTAGGATCCTGTAATCTGAGCTGGACACTATCAATCCTCCTTAAGATTTCGTACCAGAAATTAACTAAAGTTATGAATATTGTAACGGAAATGGCCTGGGGTACTCACGTTTGTAATAGGGGGATCGAAATTCATGGTATTTCAGTAAATGGGAGCCCCCTTTGCACCCCATTTACTGTTAAATATGACAATGGAGAAAACTATATAAGCGGCGACGAGAACCACAAGGGGGGAGTAAAGTGACAGCAGCGACCGGGTGCAGAAGAGGTTAAACCCCGCGAGTTATTGTTTGTGAAGTTATTTTATTAAGTTAGCGTCATTTTAAAAGTTAGTTTGTTACTGTTCCGTATTTAAAGTGATACCGAACTTCTTTTTGGAATAATGCGCACTTCTTTGGGCTTAACTTCAGGTTTGCAGCTTTTAATTTGTTGAACACTTGCTCGATGTTCTTAATCTGATCTTCAAAGGYTTTTCCAAGTATTATAACGTCATCCAGGTATACAAGACAAGTCTTCCAGGTTAATCCTTGTAATACGGTCTCCATTAGACGCTCWAAAGTTGCTGGAGCATTGCATAGTCCAAAAGGCATTACATTAAACTGCCAAAGTCCAGTTCCAGTTGAAAAAGCAGTTTTCTCTTTGTCTTCGGGGTKCATTCGTACTTGCCAATATCCGCTCWTCAAATCCAGCGTGGTTAACCATTTTGAGCCCGACAGTGTGTCAAGTSTATCATCGATACGGGGCAAAGGAAAACTGTTTTTCTTCGTGATGTCGTTAAGCCTTCGGYAGTCAACGCAAAATCGGCTGGAMCCATCCTTTTGCTTGACCAGGACTACGGGTGACGTCCATGGACTTTGTGATGGTTCAATTACTTCGTGCTTCTCCATGTCTGCTAACATATGAGCCAATTCTTCCTACTTGGAAAGTGGAACTCTTCGAGGAGGCAGTTTAATTGGAGCAACATCGCCAGTATTTATGCGATGCTGAACTACATCTGTCTTGCCGAAGTCATCTTCAGAGAGTGCAAACACGTGCAAATTTATTTCCAAAAGGTTGACCACTTGGTGCGCCTGAACTTCGGTTAGGGTTCTCGAAAACTTGTCTGCCAAATCCTTCAACGCTTGAGGGAGGTTCTTGGGAATCAGCCTTTTTCAATGTAAATCTTCACAGGCGACAATCGTGCATTCCGGTTACCAGCTACCAAGTGTCTCTCCTTCCTTCAATAGTTGGCTATGCTCAGTTACATTCATCAGACGTACAGATACAACGTGATTTCTAATTTTTGATAAAGTTGTTGCAAGCACAATACCTTTTGTGCATGATTTTGATTCAGGATCTCCTTCCATTATTACGACATTCTCGTCAAACTCGTCTTTATAAGTAGCCAAGGCAAGGCAATCAGTTCAGTTTTTCCCGGAATTTCGTAATCTTCGAACAGTTCAATTTTTCTAGCTCCTTGGGCATATGCCGTTGGGCTCGAAAGAACAATTTCTTCATTTCCACATCTTAATACTCTTTGAGGTATGTCCAAGATAAAACGTTGATTTTCCATCAGGTTTAAGCCAAGTATAACATTATCGATAATATCCGCAACAAGAACCAGGGGGGTAAAGGTTGCCAAATGCGTACCTTTGATGGGTATATTTTCTCCATTTGCTGATTCCAAAACATAGTTCATTCCAGTACTTCTTCTTTCACTCCGATGGTGGCAATTAAAAAGTACATCAGGTCTTACGATGGTGTGAGTTGAGCCAGTATTCAAAATCATCTCAGTTTCTCGGCCACATACTGTCCCTGGTACTACCAAGCTGGATCCAGTGTTCTTGAGCCGAGAAATCGTAACCTTGATAGCAGATGGTGGGGCTTGGTAGCACCTAGGCGGCTTTCGCCCGTCAAAGCTGACTATTTTTGAGTTTTCCTACTGTCTTCCTGGAGAAGCGGTTCTTGATTCAAAATTTCTGGTCTTGAAACTTCGGTAATATTTTTGAATATGGCCTCCTTCTCCGCAAGTCCAACAGGTTGTCTTCTCTCTTAGTTTTTGGCGTCTCTCGAAGTCGCTTGGTCTTTGATAATTATTATCACCTGACTTTTGAAGACTCTCATTTCGAAGTTCCTCTCTAATCATTTCTTTTATCAGTTTCGCTTGTCTTGGTTCTTCGCAGTCGTCATCACACCTCATAAACCTAACTCTTGATGAAGGTCTGGTGGCGGTCTTGGCAGCTTCATATTCCAAAGCACGAGCAAGTGTTTGCGAAAGGTCTTTAACGTGGTTTACACGTAGGTGCGTTGATATTTCCGAATCATAAATTCCATTATCAAATGCTTCGACTGCTAGCTCTTGAATGATCTCCTCAGGTAGTGGAAGAAGTGGTGGTTCAAATTCTTGAATGGTTTCACTGTTCTTTTGTCGTCTGCTTCTAAGCTGGGTTTTGTAGACTTCTTTCAAGTGTGTGTCACCATACCTCATTTGAAAAATTTCGAGCATGGCCTGATAGTTCTTACGGTCATCTTGTGGTATTGCTCGTAAAATTTCCGTTGCTTCGCCTCGTAGGGAAATAATAAGTGCTGTTGCCTTCTCCTGATCATTCCACCCGTTAACTACTGCAGCGGCTTAAAATTGACATAAATATGTGGACCATGCGACTTTACTATCGAATGTTGGCGGCTTCAGTTTACTGCGGCTTGAAGAATGCGTCTCAGTTTTTATTCTATCAGATCCTGCATTGTACCGGGTTACTTCTTGTCTAATTTTGATTATTTCTTCTTCCACATGTGCGTGAAGTCGGCATATATTTTCATCAACTTTGTCTTGAAACTTTATCTTTTCATCTCTAACATCGTTCTGTAACTTCGTATGGTCTTCTTTCAGAATCTTCTGGAACTCAACACTGTCTTCCTCAATGTTCTTTCATTTTGCTCATTTCGCCTTTCATCTGCATGAGCAGTGAAATCGAACTGGGGTTCTCCATTGCAGGGTCTTTCTTCTTTGATTTACTTCTTGTTTCCATCAAAATTCAACTTGGATTCTGGTAAATCCCACTTCTGACACCAAATGTACCGTGGATGGCCGGGTATCAGACTCTTTCTTCAAATTCCCACTTTTATTCAGCTCGGTATAACTTTAAATACGGAACAGGAACACACTAACTTCAAAATTACCGTCAGCTTTACAAACAATAACAAACGGAAAACTCGGCCTTCCGACTTGCGGGGTTGAACCTCTTCTGCACCCGGTCGCTGCTGTCACTTCACTCCCTCCCTGTGGTTCCCCTCGCCGCTTATATCTTCCATTGCCAGTGTCATATTTGACAACAAATGGGGCGCAAAGGGGGCTCCCATTTACTGAAATACCATTAATTTCGATCCCCCAATTCCAAACGTGAGTACCCCACGCCAAGAGTTAGTATCTTTTGCAACAGAATTGTAGCTTCACTTCTGGCGTCGCTTCTAGTGGTAGTTTTGGCCTGAAATGACCAAGGGATAGAAAGAATACCAGCGAAGCAATATAAGTGGAAAATAACTCAAAGCTTATATTTAAGAGTAAGAAACGTTTGAAGCAACGAAACTCGAGAAACGCGAAAATGCCGGAGTTCAGGACCCGTTTAAACGCAAACATGCAATTCCCATTCTCCATTCTCCCTTAAGTTTCTAATTTCTGAAGTTACACATTTTTTTTAAATAAATCATTTAAAAAACAGTTTTTTTGGACATGTTCGACTACCAGCGTGCGTGTGATAGAACAACTAAGACGCCACTTTCTAGCTAATGGCACACTTTGTTGCTACTGTTTTTAAATTCCTCTATGGTTATTTGTTTTTCTCGAAAGTCACGTTTATGCGCCGATTGGAGGTTCCAAAGCTAAACCATGTTGACTGATCCCAGTCAACTGTTTTATAGGATTTTAATGGTGTCACAATTTAAAATCGCACATTGCTGCTTCCACATTGTCCTGCTGATCGATTGGCCCCATTTTAAGCGCAGTTCCACGCAACGAGACTATCAGAGCAGCAAGCAGATCCCCATCAGAATTATCCACACCTTAATGAGCGCTCATTCAAGCTCACTGATTTGATCAATATTTAGCGAAACCACTCTAATATCGTCCAGCTAGAGAAAGTGCATATTTCAGATTTGTTCGCACCATTGCAAAGGCAGCAGCAACTTCTGAACAGTGCCGCACGCTTCGGAAAGCAATTATTGGCTTGCCCCCGTAACAAGCTATTTAAGTCGTCAGGAGGAACTTGGAGTATTTGAAAAAAATATATTTTTGCTTTGTGCTCGGTTTTTTTCGCGTCAACATGCAGCTGTGTGCTCGGTTACCTGCCCTTAACATGAAAAAGCGGAAACCAGAAGAAAGGTAGTGAACACGCAATGTTGGCTTTTTTTAAGGTAAGTCGCTTACTCTTGCCGCCGCCACTCACCCATTTTCCTGCCTCCCCGACTTACCTTGTTGCCCCTTCCGAATAGAGTCCGAAAAAATCCCCCAGGATTCAGCTTCTTCACGGCCTCGTCCCGCAGCTGAATGGCCTTGTTCTCGATATGCGATGCCATGATTTTGCGGAAATTTATCAGAAAAACGTACGACTGTGACAGTGGCTTACCAGTGACAAAACGCTCAAACTTACCTGTATCCCAAAAAAAATCACTGGCATGGAGAACGTGCACCGACAAGAGTCGAAACTCGATGGCAAGAAGGGCCCGGTCGACATGAAAGAGATGATCAAAGCATCTAGTGCTTTCTCGGTAATCGTTCCAAATTCGTTTTAAACGCGCTCTAACTTGCCTTCTAGAGGACCAGAACCCGAAGCGGCTACGCTGAAACGTTGGAGAAGCTGAGGAAAGAGTTCTACGACCGATGGGAGAAGAACAACCCCTCACCGACCGACGGGTTAAACCAGTTTGACCGGCTGAAGACTCTGGGCACTGGGTCCTTCGGACGAGTGGTAAGTTTGCTGCAAGAATAATGCGAGCCATTTTGACTGGTTGGGGGGCAGTTTCTAGTGCAGCACCAACAAACCAAAGGATACTACGCAATGAAGGTGATCGACAAGATCCGCATCGTGAAACTGAAGCAGGTGGAGCACACGCTCTACGAGAAGAAAATCCTGGAGTCGGCACGGTTCCCGTTTCTAATTTCTTTGGAGTTTTCCTTTAAGGACAACAGCTTCATTTATTTGCTCATGCCGTTCATCAACGGGGGCGAAATGTTCACTCACTTGAGAAAGTAAGGGAAAAGTGATAATGAAACATTCGTCAATAAAGCGCTGATTTCAGGGCGCACAAGTTCGATGAAAGCTTGTCGAAGTTCTACGGGGCTCAAGTGCTGCTCGCTTTGGAGTTTCTTCACTATTGCGACGTGATTTACCGGGACCTAAAGCCGGAGAATATCCTCATTGATATGAAGGGGTATCTGAAAATTGCTGATATGGGATTTTGTAAGGTAAGGGAAGTTTTCGTTAGTCGAAGCCCCAATTTCTGCCACATAACTAAAGAGAAAAAATTAGCTTTTGGGCTAAAAACACCAGAAACATGGGGCTTTGGACCAGATCGACAAGAAGCCATAAAACTTGCTGGAGAGTTTACTACAAAAAATTATTCAAAAACCAATTTAAAAAACGGCATACTGCGAAAGAATGCGCTTAAGTAGATCTTAAAATATGTCTGTTGGGTCACATTGACGGTCTTCTCAAACAGACATGGGTAACACTGTGTTGAGTTGCGCTGTGGAGTTGGAGCCGCTCTGCGCGTTACGCGTTATAACTCATCGCGTCTCACTGCGCCGCACCTTGATTAGCGCTTTAACCTCATTCAAGATAACAGACGCCAACATTTTCCACTTGAATTAATCTGTACCTTCGTCGTGCATTCCTTCCTAATTTGTCTGTTACCTTAAAATTTGCAAAAGTAAAAATTCGGCTTTCCAGCAAACCAGCAGATTTTGTGACGAACAATATGTTTCAGATTGTTAAGGGACGAACTTGGACCCTCTGCGGCACACCCGAGTACATTGCGCCAGAAATCATCCTCAGTAAAGGATACGGTAAAGCTGTAGATTGGTGGTCTTATGGAGTGCTGCTTTTCGAAATGTCCGCCGGATATCCTCCTTTCACGTCCGGCGATCCMATGAAGGCWAGTACCCATTTTCTGTCAATTTCCACTATGGTCCTCATTATTCGATCTTGTAGGTGTACGAGAAAATMATTTCGTGCAAGTATAAAACACCTGCGTTTTTCACCTTGGAGCTGAGCGATCTAATTCGAAACATGCTRCAGGTGGATCTCAGTCGCAGGTATGTAGGTATATTAACCGCTTTTTGTAGTTTGACGAKGCTTCGACTTTCTTCTCGTGAACCGAATACAGGTTGATTCAAAAGTGGCGTCATTCCTTTTAAGGGGTGATAGAGGCTCCCTTGGGGAGTACGAGAAAAATATTGAAAAGTTTTTTTCGATAAATTCTAGAAGATATTAACAGTTGAAGATCGAATTTCAACTTTGTTATTAGGCATTATTTTTAAARTGTTCCATGTTTAATTTGAAGCATATTGGAATACTTAAGCATTCAAAAAGAAAAATTACGATCTTTGYTTCAAAGTAYGAAAATKTTTACTATTAAAACAGTACTCTTCTACAATTTTTTGATTAAAAGTTGAAGCGGCAATCATGTTTTTTGTCATCRACAGATAGTTACAGGTGAATAGTCCTTGTCAATAATAACAATAATTTGTCAAACTGTGACTTACTTTGAAGCTCCTTTCACGAATTGGCGGATATGCGATATGGTAATAGGTTCCAAAGTACGGTTCCAGAAGAAACATGTTTTYCAAGTTTTTCATTAAAAATTCGCAATGATGATGATGGTAGCAATAGTAATGATAAATAATGATTTAGTTTATTACAAAAAATAATTCTTAGCTAATTTTTATTTAAACATGAATTAACATTTAGGAATATTTTTTTGCGTGGGTATGCTTTTTACTAAGTCTAAGTCTTCGCTCGTTTATGATAGCACCCGCTTTGGAAAATAATCTCCTGCATGGAACAGAAGTACGAGAGGAGAGTGATTCCAGGAAGATAGTGGACGACAATAAATGTTCGGGTTCTAGACACAGAGAAACAAGTATTGAACATATTTGCAGAAGAGCCTTTCAGAGCCACTCAGAACATTGCACAACAACTGACACTTGCCCAGGCACCAAATAACTACCAGCTGCATTCCTACCACGTATGTAGGATACACATTAAACCAATAGATTACTGAACACCGGTATAAATTGAGCAGAAGTTAATTAACCGAATACGAGAAGCTGCTCGAGAAGAGAACATAATAAGCTGATTATACAGGCACTTGTTTGGAGTTACAGACTCAAATAATTGTAAAAAAATAATGTTTTGGTAATTTGTAAACGAATTAATAATTCGAGGTTATGAGTTTCAAAGTATATATAGATATTTTAAGGAGGAAACACATACCTGAAGCTATTATAGCAACTATCAAACAATTAAACGTCAACACTTCGACTCATCTTAATGAACCAGAAACTGACAGAGGAAATTTCAACGCCATCGGGGATTAGACAGGAAGATTCTCTAAGCCCTCAGCTGTTTTACATCATAATAAGTGAGATAATTAGTCACGGCAAGAACTCGGGCAGAGGGTACAAACTTACAACTGGCAAAATAAAAATAATTTGCTACGCCGACGACGCTGTGATCATAGCTGAAAGCGAGCACCACCTTCAAAGGCTCTTGCACTCATTTTATGCCAAGGCTATGGCCTACAACATGCAAATATTCACTACCAAAACAAAAACACTCGTAATCGCTAAAGAGCCCGTCAGATGTAAACTCGCACTCGATAGTCATTTAGTAGAGCAGGTAATGGAGTTTATCTACCTGGGAGTGCAAATAACCTCCAGTCAAAACAGAGGCAATGAAGGTCCAAGCAAACAAGGCTAGCAGGAAGCAGGTGCTCCACGAGAAGGAGTATGGAACAAGGCTAAAACTAAGATCTATAAAACCTGCATACGACCGATACTGACATACGCTACAGAAACCCGAGCAGACACCAGTCGAACCAAAAATATCCTGCGCACAACTGAAACGAAAATACTGAGGGATATAGCAGGATACACCCTAAGAGACAGGAAAAGTAACACTGACATAAGAAGTCATAAGAGTGCGAGATAGAGGATATAGTCAGATGGGGACGGAAGCGTCGTAGAGCCTGGAATGWCCACGTCACTAGAATGAATATGGACAGGGTAGCAAAAATTGTCCKAGACGGGTTTCCACAGACACTCCGACCACTGGGCAGACCTCCCAAAAGATTGAAAGAAAATTAAGTTGTAAAATACAAGCCTAATGCTTAAAATATGCGGAAGAAGAAGAAGAGTTTCGAAATAGGTTYCGTCATTCAACGATTACTGTTGATTTTACCTCCTTGTCTATCTTATTGTCAGTTTCCCTATTTATCCATGGTTACCGGAGTTTTAAATAATTGCRAAGCAACAAGTATTTACGTAATGTTAATTAGGCAGATTACCCTGAAAAACGTTGTTGCCGTTTTTCTAATTTAGTTTTTTGAAAATTTSTCAGTTTTTAATAACAATAATTTTCTTTCTGTACTTCTAAAACGCCACCAGACTACACCTCCAGAGAAATGACGCCAATTTTGAATCACCCTGTGTTATTTGCCTTTATTCTCGGTGGAAAATAACCGGAAAAGATATAAAGTTTTGGAAAAAACGGCTTTGAAACTGTCGTCAGAACAGTCAGCTGACAATCAGAGGAAAAATAAATTTTTGCCCTCGAAGATGAAACCGGTACACAAACGAATAATAGGGAAACGTTACGAGGAGATCCGCGCAGGGGCATGTCACCTGAAGGTCTTAAATCAAGGGTCATAAGAAATATCAGACATATCCGTTGATAGGTTTGGAAACGATGGCCGAATAGTTGAATAAACAAGCGATTTTACCGGTTGTTAAACAAGCAGTATACAATTTTCGGATTCACTCTAAGGTCCGTATTTATAAACGATGCTCAAGCCTGAGTCGAGTCTCAAGTACGAGACTTGGCTTCGGCAAGTATC